ATGAGGTTCTATTCCTAAGTAGGTAGGGGAATTGAAAAGGAAAAACAGGGTTAAACAAGAGGAGAACTGGGGGGGGGCACTGGGGTGGCCAGCTTACTTTCCGGGGGAGGGCATGATCCCCCCTGGCCCCCACTGCTGGCGCCCCTGCCGGCCTGCAACCTGTTTGTGGGGAATTTATTCAGGTTTTTCAACACTTAATGCCACTTAATGAGACACATAATGCCAGCTAGGTAGAATACATAAGCTAAAAGCTAAATGCAAAGAACACAAGCTAAAAACAGCAAGTTACTCGTGTGTATTTGGCAAATGATGCACATTAATTATTTTAATTTCTTTCAGAGATCATCCAGGCTGAGTCTCAAATATACGACCAACAGATATTGTGAGTATTATTTTTTGTTTTCAGGTCAAGTTATACGCAGAAAGATTTCTTCTTCTTCTTTGAAAAGCCTAAAGTTTTCCTTTAGCCTCCTCTAAAGGCATGTAAAGAATGGTTTTGTTGCCTTTATTTAATTAGTTCTAAATGTCACATTTCAATATTTTTACTGTCTGAAAGTTTTGATGCAATAATTTTCTGCTGGCAGTCAACGTGGAGGCAGTAAATTTGCAGTGATGCGATCAAAAACAGGTAAATTTGATCTGAGATTGTGTTGATGATAAAATAATTATTGTTATTCTCACGAGTTTTATTCAATGTTTTTTCAGTCACCAGAAACAATCAGACGTGTTCAGCCACAGTGTATGTAAAACTTCATTTTCTGCTAGTTTTCTTCTTTTGGTTTTTGTGTTTACAAATGTACTGCCTGGCCAAAAAAAAAGTCACCCCGCAAAAAAGGTCTTTATATAATAATAGTAATATTTAAAACCTTATATTTCCTTAGTTTTTCATTGGACCTTTAGCTTTGATTACAACACACATTCTCTGTGGCGTTGTTTGGATAAGCTTCTGCAATGTCAGCAGATTTATTTCATCCAGTGTTGCATTAATTTTTCACCAAGATCTTCATTGATGATGGTAGAGTCTGACCTTCTCYAGCACATCCCAAAGATTCTCACTGGGCTCTGTGGACCATGTGTGAAAATGATGTCTCATGCTCCCTGAACCACTCTTTCACAACCGTGTTTCCATACAGTTGTAGAGTGAATTTTTATCGAACTTTTTAAAATTCGCAAAAAATTAAATAAAAATTCGAATCTAGACTGTTTCCATCTAGTTTCCCTCTCAACTGTTTGATGTTAATAAATGAGGCTACGCAACGCATGATTACGTCAGACGAGGCTACGCAATGCGTGATTACATCAGACAAGGCTACGCAACGCGTGATTACATCAGACGAGGCTACGCAACGCGTGATTACGTCAGATGAGGCTACGCAACGCGTGATTACATCAGACGAGGCTACGCAATGCGTGATTACATCAGACAAGGCTACGCAACGCGTGATTACATCAGACGAGGCTACGCAAAGCGTGATTACATCAGACGAGGCTACGCAATGCGTGATTACATCAGATGAGTTTACGCAATGCGTGATTATGTCAGCCGTCGGCGACAAGCTTTGCGGTAGTAAACAGGAAGTGAAACTTGCTAACTAGCAGAGGCTAATCATCTCGGGACAATGGAGCAATTTTTTCGTGAATGCCTTGCTATTGGGCATCTAAAATGGCTGTAACGTTTCTTTCGCGAATTAAGGAGAAATGTTCTCGTCTCTTCGTCAATCCACACGTATCTGTCGTTGTTCGCAGCCATGTTTTCTAGCTAGGCTTTTGCAAGTTTAGCTAGCCATTTGCTACTTTTAGCTACTGTTTTGCCATTTTTTAGTTTTCAGCTACACATTTAGGTTTTAAGAAAAGCAGTTTTTTTCTACAGTTGATCATTTTTATTCTGAAGACATAATTTTTGTCACATTTCCTGGATTTTTTATAACCCCCGTTTTTGCAGCCCAGTTTTGTACGTTTCATCATGTTAATAATTCATTTAAATTAGAAATGTCTAAAATATAATCATTTATTTACTTTCAATTTATTTGTTTGTAAATAAATAAATAAATACTCTAAAAATCTGAACTGTTTTTATCTTTCAGTGAAACTTGTGAAGGATCTGGTTTTGAAGACGGTAAGATTCTCATGATTTATTCTGTGTTTTATAAAGAAGTTTTATTATCAGACGTTGACAGAGTGATGTATTGCAGGTCAAACWGAGGAACAGGCAGATTACCAAAATGTTACAGGTAATAATTCACACTTTTAAAACAACCGTTTAGTCTTTATTTGATGTGTCTGTTGTKTTTAAGTGTTTTTGTTGTTTCAGGTCCAGTAATAAGCTCAAGCCTGGAGCATGACTACGTGTAAGTTTCAGATTTTAATTTAGTGATGAAAAACTAAAACCAGGTTCTTCTCTGGGACTTCGACAGGAAGCTGAGATTTTCTAAATAAAACAGGAAGTACAGAGATAAAGCATAAACTCAACAGCTCATCAGATATTTTGATAAAGTTGTAATTAGCACTTTTTGAGCATGTTTTGTGAACAACTCTCAGCTACCACAACAAACTTTAGCTCAATATCTGTTAAAGTAACTGCGGTACGGCCATTTTTGTGTTGGTTCATGTCAGTTTCTTCAGGGTTCCCACAGTTTAAGACAAATTAAACACTTTTTAATGCCAAGGGAAATTAAATTTATGTTCAATTTCACAATAAAAACGTGGCTGAAACTCATGAATCAAAGTATTTTTGGCTGAATTATTCAAATATTGCTAATAGACCAATTGTTTTTATCCATATCTACTGTATTTATTCAAGTATAATACGTATAATTTAATCCATATAATCATCCATAAATTTGGGGGGTAGTATTATACTCGGATAAATATTTTTACTTATGTATTTTAACTGAAATATCGGCAAAATGCCTGAAATGAGACCGCATCGTAAGAAGCAGTTGAAGCGAGCTCACCTCTGACACTACTCTTTGCTTCAGAGTGAGATAATAACAGATCCAGGCAGGAGACATGATGTGAAAAAAGGGTTTAAAATCAGTCCTGCACCTTTTTAATGATAACAAACTAATATTAGCGTGTGACCGAGCCGCTCCTCAAACAACCACAAACACATATTCRTCTGTAATGGCTGCCGTCTACCGGTATTCTGAAAAAGTTTGTATCCTTGAAAAAAGTTTCCCCACCAGAGGGGGCGCTCATGAGTAGGAAGTAATCTGCTTTTCCCCCACAAGATGGTCCAAATCTCATGTGAAGTCTCTGACTTTTGTGTTGGCGCCTCCTGGTGGACTATGTGTAAAATGCCAGAATTCATATTGTAGGAATGAGTTATTTATGCAAATAACTTTCCTGCATCTTCTCATAACTAAGC